TTTTTCACATGTGTAATTTTTTGTCAGAATTTTCAGTTTGTTCTAAACGTGAAAAACCATTGTTGGCCATATTGTTACTATTTTTTGGGTGCGTAAGCTGACACGATTTACTACCTTAAATTTTATGTATTTGTTCTAAAACCGATTAATTACAAGCCAGATTTTTTACACGTGAGAAGCAATTTTCTAAAAATAACTAAATTATTTTGCCAAATCTATCCCACTATTACCGATTATAGCTGTTTTTGTGACTTTGTTTTAAACGTTAGTGAGATAAAATTATTGATAAAATTCTGACTCATATACTGTGATATTAAAGAAAAAAAATCATTTGTACTCTTATTTTAAAATGGTTCCACATTTTTAACATTATTTTCTTCTATCTAGAAAAAAAAGCCTAAATGATTTTTAGAAAAAACAATACGTAAACTTTTAGGAAAATTACTTTCCTCTGATTTAGGAAATGATACGTTTGAAGTATTTAAAAGTTTCTTACACAATAAATGCAAATAGTATAACTTACATCATAAAAAATAACTTGGCAAATAAATTCAACAACTTGGTTTATAGAAAGTACATTTTGTCATATCATAATTATAATCACAATAATTAAATTAACTACATCAACTATACTAGTACAGATTCTACAGATACTACAAAAATTAAGAAAATTAAATAAAACTTAGTACATAACATAACTTGTGTAAATATCTTTTCATACGTTATTAAGATCTTCCACATCTTAATCTTTTAAATATACACTTGTTTGCAGTGACCAATTTCATGTAAGGTCTTATTGTAATACATTAATTATCAAAAAACGTTGATAAATGGCGGAAAAAGCATTTTGTAACGTAAAAGCTTATAATTTTACATCCAAAGATAAAATATTATTAAATGCAAGATATTATTTTCTCTTTAAAATGTATTGTATTCCATATCAAAACTGTAATTTTTGTAACTATTACTGACAAATCCCAATATTGTCTAAACATGCACATCATACTTGTATTTAAACAATCAGTGGTTAAAGTGGTCGTATTCAAGTTTTAATTTCATCGATTCTTCAACACGTATAATTCGCATATTTAAAACTATTAGTTCGGCAATGCTTCGTTTAGTCAGACTTGAGGTTCTGCCAAATTAGCATTATAGTCTGTACTCTGATATGAAAGACATGTTCAAGTTGATTTATTTTGGAAATCTTTTGTACTTTCCGCACACAGCCCACCACTTATCAACGTAACTTTTTTTTTATTCTGAAACAAAAAAAAATTTTAACCGAGCAAAAGCATTTTGAGCATTCACACACACACACACGCGCGCGCGCGTGTTTGGTGTATGCGTATTTTATGGGTATAAATGAGCCCCAGTAAACTTGAAATTAACTTCTTCAATGACGTTAAAATATATGGGAATCGCGACAGTCTTCATTCGGGAAAACCAGAGAAATATACGGGAATTTAATTCCAGGCTTCTAGTCGACACCCTGTGCCAAAATCGGGCACCAAGAGGACTTTATTTTTCCTGGTTTTCCACGATTTTTTTACGGAGTTTAATAATAACACTTATTAAAGTGACTGCAATGAATAGCCAATATTTCTGAACGAATTTAAAATATACATCTTATCTATAGTTTTGGTACTATTATTTTTTTTTTTACAAGACAAAAAGTTGCATGGTGCATTTCCTATTGATGGTGATTGGGTTACGGCAATAAGTATATAACCATGGTAAATAGTTCATGATAATAGATGATTACGTTACTAACAACATTATGATCTTATTTATTTAAATAATCATAAAATTAGTTTTAAGTTGCTGAAACTATTGCAAGATAATTTTACAGAGTATTTCTAGAATTAAAAAAGAACTATGGACCAATGTGGATTTCTTTAAGCTTTATTGACGACTAGAGTTAAATATTGTTAAAAGTTTCATGGCAAGAAAGCCACTTCAGTTCTGTCGTGTAGCAAAGGACTCATGAGATCTTAACGAGATTTTAAACATAGGTTATGGTTTTCCCAAAAATAAATCTGTTGAAAAATTTGATGAAAGTTCTTGATGGTTTAATTTTTGGATGATTAACTCGCAATTTCATTAGATATTACGTATCCTAAATATTAAAATCTGTAGTGTACAAAAGTACCATTATGATCTTGATGGACATCGATCAAGCGTAATTTGGAAGCCTCAAGAAAATTTGTCAGTCCTTTAAATACTAATATTGCCTGTACGGCTCACGCGCTATTTTACACTACTTTCATTAGCCGTTACATGCAAAAAGATTGACCAATTCTATGGGGAAAAAAATTTGTTTGGTACAATAAACCTTTAGCAAAAAAATGGTGTCGGTCTGAGGTCTAAAAATCGAATGTAACGAGCAGGATGCGTAAAAAAACTGAAAGTATTGTATCTTGAGTTTTGTTGGTCCTATAACAACTTTTTTTTTTAGATTTATGTAAAAACTAGCAGCCCCCCGTCTCGGCTTCGCCTGAGACTTACTAAATGGAACACCGTAGTCTGTTGACATGTAATGTGAAACGTTTTCAGTTGAAATTTTACATTTATTCCTGACACTTCTCAGAACAAAAATCTTCTTACTAAAAACATGTTTGTTCGCAATCCATACAGCTTATTTGGTCAAATAATAAGCTGTAAAAATTAAAAAAAATATAATTATGCTGAAAAGTACCGGGCGTTCCTTATGCCATAAAATAATCGTTGGCCATAAGGGGCTGTTGATTTGCAATTTCTCCTGTAAAATTTACAAAAAGGGCTATTTTTTATAGCTGTTAAGATTGAAAACTCACAAAAATATATATTTAAAAAAATTTTTTTCTCTTATCTCTCAACTTTATTACCAGAGCAACAAGGTCCTGGAGCTTAATCTCTACATTTTTTAGTGCCACAAAAATACAAATATATTATCTTCTTTAAAAACCTGAATTTAGATCTTTAAAAGTTTGAGAGATTACTGTGAGGGTAAAATGAAAAGCTGATCTCTCACGTAATGGATTCTTTATTTGTCGATTTTGAGGCTGCTGTTCCAATCTCGATCAATTTTCTGCGTCAGTTTCTTGACGCCTAAAATTGTATTTGTTAGATACATTTGAAGTTTTCCTTCCAATTCACCCTCTTGCGACTTTTGTGACCCCTGAAGGCTATTTTTTGTCAATTTTGTTAAGTTCTAATATATTTGTTGGCAAGGTGGTTCGACGTCGCCTGGTATTTCGCTGGAGACGTTATCGATTAAAAAAATTTTTCATTAGTGGCACTCATCAATCCTGAAGGTTCCAGGTGAAGGTGAAGACCTAGATCACTGCCCCTTAGGAGAAGAGCGTCATCGGTAACCGGAATACCAAGCTGCACGACTCCAGCTACATTCTCAATGCAGCTCGATGAACTGCCAGTCGACGATTGCAAAAAAAACTGCGACACTCTGGCGTATTATAACCACACTCATTTCATTCTGTTGCAGGTAGCTTCGATTTTATGTCGATGCCACGTAGAGGATCCTACTGAACTAAAGTGAAAAGCTGACGTATTTTTGCAAAACCTTGAGCTTATTTATTGCTATTGTTATTAAATTTTTCAAGATAAAAACCATACTAAAACTATCTAGGAAGTGTCAAGAATCGGTATGCAAAATTTCAGCAAAATCGGTTCAGTAGTTTTCGCGGTTAGTGATTACAACGGTTTTAGCGACTTTGCTCTATATATTACAGTAAGATAAGCGTAATCCATTGCACTAAACTGTTATTGTCTAAGTAGAAAATTGGAGAAAATGCGGTCTTGTACTTTCAGATTTTTGTTAATAACTTTTTTATTTGTTTATTTAATAAGTCCTGTTTCTTAGGGATCAAGGGTAATCTTATTTCTCACTGATTCCAGAAAAAACGATATCAATGCCATGCCCGTGAAACATTTTATACACAATTGAAGTTTTTAACTAACGACTGTCCAATAGGCCACCATTTCGAAATTTCGTGATCAGACTTGGCATACAACAATCACTATACTAATGTCTATGGAACTTTCGTTTTCCATTCCATTTTGAATATTGCAACATGTATTTATGCGTTTTAATTTTTTTGCGTTTTTTGGTTCCCTCCCATGTTTAAACAATAGAAAAATTTTGTTAATTTTTTAAAACTCTAATTCCTTATGTAAAATCATAAAGGTAAACAACTTTCGCATTAAACGTTTTGCTCCAAAACTAAAACTTTTCGAGATATTTAATAAAAACAAAAAAAGCCTTTTTAAAAGTTATTTTGCAATATAAAACAATGACGCATATCTTTGTCAAAGTCGACAATTTAGGGTGTTATGCAACGTACTTTTTTTATAATTTTAAGCTTAATATCGTATTTTTATAAAGAACCACCACCCACTAATGCTCTGCGCCCTGACTACTGTAACAGCTGATAGTAATAGATACTTTGTTTAAATTGCTTTTCAACTGTAACGAATTTTATTATAGGTATACTTGGTCAGGTGTGTGAAAGAGGTTAGATAAATCTTTACTTATTTGGCTCCATTAGTGTTGATAATACCATCGTAAACTATCTAAATATAAAAATAAATCGGTCACTCTCATTACTGGCTACGTAGGTTAGTTAAATGTATAATTTACATCAGAGTTAGAATTATAATGATTCGAAAGGAAGATACTTTCAAAGTTTTAACTCGTTTATCGAAAAATATGCTGTATATGTCATAAAAAACATTAAGAAAAATTAAAACTCAGATCAACTTGAAACTTTGATCTTATACAGTTCAGATTATTTATTGTCTACAGTCTTGTTTTAAATTGACGATGTACGAGAGGTATAAATAGAATCTCTTCTATATAAAATGCCTTTTGTATGTTACCATGGTCAAATAAAAAAAATTTTGTTTTCTGGAAAAAACATAACCAAAAACATTATTTGAAATAGAAATACAGTAGTAAAAATATTGTGTTGCTTAATAAAATATTTTTATGTTTTTTACTCAAGGGAAGCAACAAAGGCACCTTTGACATTTCATGTCATGGAAAACGCTGTGGGAGCTTTCATCGGGCGAGTAGTTCCAGCCAATATCAGTAGTAGTCTTAAGAATGTACGTTTCCTGATAGCCAATCAGCAGGACATAAATGAGATTTCTATTACTGATACAGGAGCCCTTTACACCCAAACAGGTCTTGATAGAGAAAAGAAACAAAATCATAGTATAATAGCTATAGCTGAGAGTCCTCGTGGAGTTGGAGTATTTCAAGTAAGTATCAATATTCATGTTCTTATACATTTTTTTTCCTTACTACACTCTAAATTTTGTGTATATAATATCATTTGCTAATCATAACCACTAGTTTGGTTGATAACACGTGATAAAATTTCAGACCACAACTTAAGTGTTAAATGTCAGTTATATGTATAAAAGAGTCTTCAACTTTCAGAGACACCTTATGAAGAAAATATAAGTTTTAAAAAAGTAATTTAAGTTAAGTATGGTTTGAAAAATCAAGTTCTTATTAAAGTATTGATTCAACATCAACTCATTATCAAGTTTTTACGTATCTTATTTCGAGCTTTTCCTGAAATCAGATTTTTTTCAAATTTGATTTTTGAAAACGTAGTTTCATGGTACATTGATATACTTTAAAGATTTTGCAATATTATTAATCTTATGTAACTCAGACCCAGGTGTAAAATGCATCTGCTTTGTTTTTATTGTCTTTTTAACTTCTTTTTCTTCGAAAGTAAAATTTTGGTTACTACTATTAATAAATGTGTGTATATGTAGTGCTATGTAACTATGTGAATATGTTCAACATTTATATATTGTGCTTATTTTTCGAATCGTAGAAGCTTTATTTTTTTCGATTTTTGAAGCGAAAAATATTTGTTACCAAAAAAAAAAAAAAAACGAAAATAGCATTCGCAAAAATAAAGAAAAAAAGTTTTATATGCATTTAAATTGATTCACAACTTTTTCTACAAAAATGAATAAAAAACCGCTTAAAATGGCCATTTTTGAATATTTAATTGTAGGGCTTTCCTGTAAACTTTTTTCGAGGCCCAAAGTAAAGGTACTTATAATACCTAGTTTTTATTTGGTTAAAAAAATTTTCTATGTTTTTCCACGATCTGTTAGAATGTAAAAATGTATTTTACGAAAATAGTGGCTCGGCAAAGTGGCTTCTCCCATCATGCGTCTCTTCCCCTTTGCTGGCTCACCTCAGCACTCGAAGCCGTAAAGCTGCCCTACTTTGCAACCCGTTTTTAAGGGATTGATAACATAATGAGTTTTTGAATTGATGATTGCGTCGTAGAGAAACATCTACAAGATACATATCATTTTTAAAAATTTTATTTGGACCATTTTTGGAGATTTCTCCGCCATTTTCGAAAAACATCTTACTTACATTCTTGAAAATTGTTGCAAAACTTAAAAAAAAATTTTAACTGATTTCTGATCATAGCGGAATATTACGAATACCTACAATTTAAGCCACGACATAAAAATTTTATAATTATTGCAAGCCCTGTAGTAAATATCAAAAAATGGCCATTGTCGGCAATTTTCATTTTTTTGTGGGAAAGTTTTGGACCGATTTGGGTGCATAGCAACTTTCTCTCTTTGTCTTTTTAATCTCTCTTCCATTTGTTATTATTATTATTTTTTTGTTAACAAATGTTTTTTCGCATCGAAAATTGCAAAAAACCTTTTTTACTAACCATTATGACATTTTTTTACGTAAACTTCATCAAAATTTGCTTTTCAAAAATATACAGAGCTATTTTTACTATTTTTCTCATAATTGTCCTATTAAAAAAATTGATCTATAATTTTTTTTAACAAAAACTAGCTCACCTGCACTCTTGCGAGTTTCTATCATGATAACGAGTTTCATTAACAATTGTCTAATATTCATAAACAGAGATAAAGAAAGAGATCTACTTCAGCTGATACTTTGTCTTGAAACTTGTATGTAATTGAGTTTATCTATGTTCAGTATTGTAGTTTTACGTAGGCACTTTATTTGAAGGATTATTGGTTAGCAGAATATATATTATAACAAACATTGTTTGCTTGTATATTTTATAATGTATTTTGAAGTTGCATCCAAGTTTCCCTTCATCATGTAAACTAAAATTACACATTCACATTAGTCAATAAAAACAAAAATGAGTTACAATTGACGATGGATGCAAATAAACATTTAATAAATATTACGTGATGAATAGAAAATAAGTAAATTTAACAACCGATGGAGAGATGTTCTAAATGGATAGTCAAAGCTCTACTAAACTTATAAGAATACGTAGCACTATAACAAGTTAGTATTAGAAAGGAAATCACAACATTTATTAGTATAGTAGTATCCATGTAAATATAAAGTCACAAGTATTGGACAAGTGATGCCAATACTACAAACATAACAGTGAATAAACTTGTTACTTTGAACTACGTATCTGAACCATAAAGTTTTCTAAAAATAATTTTGTAAATCATTCTTGGAAATTGGATATCTTTCAGAATATTTATATTATTGTAATCCATATTTACAGGTGACCATTTAAGAATAAATGCACTTTTTGTAACTAGTTTTCTTGACGAATAACTTGTACATTATTTTAATTAAATTAATTTTTTTAACCTTAAATTTATCCTGATGGGGGGTTTGTGCACAAAACGCACAGAATGGTTAAGCCCTACCAGTAAATATATATATATATAAATATGTATATATCATATTTATAAGAATGTTCAGTATCGTAGACACGAAAAACTTTTTATAAACGTACTATAAAAAACAAAGACCGACTGACCAACCACAAAAAAACATTATTACGTACATGTCTCCAAATAAACGGCTGTCTAAATGATTTAAAGACAGATTAATCTTATCTCCATCAAAACTAAAATGTAGAGTATTCAGTACTCTTTTAACACATGATACCACCTCACTGTATAAAGTCACTGAAATCTACCAAAATATATAGTTGAAAACATTTTTTTTAAAAACGCAAGACTGATATTATTTGGGACGAATTGTCAATGATACAAAAAAGCTTTAGAAATTTTTGATTCTACATTGAGAGATTGGTCTAATACTTAAAAACTATTTAGTAACAAATTAATAATTTTATCTGTTGATTTTATGCCCTTTCTATCAAATTTTCAAATCAGAAGCCAATGTACGATTAATTTAAAAAAATAGTTTTATCGTTACTTTTAAAACTAGATGATAATCGAGGTAAAATTCAATATTATTATAACTAGGTGTTTTTATAATTCTCCAATCACTTTAATGAAGAATACTACTTGTCTCACTAAACTTTGTACTAAACAATAATGTTGTTAATTTTTAATAGAATCACATAAAGCAACACATACAACATGAAATGCGCTTAAGCCATTTGACTTGCACGAACAAATATAATTTATTTGAAGTACATCATTTAATGCCTGTTAGAATACTGTACGTCTTAATGTGTCCACATAAAAAATATTTGTATAAATTATTGAAATGATTTTATTATAAATACAATGTATTTTACTGTAACCATGAGACTGTGGGAAGTAGTAGGAAGACTGTGATAGGGGTAGGAGAAGGCTCACCTAACCCTTACCTCAAATGAAGGAAATAGTAGTGGGACTCAAGAAAGTTGGGAGCGGGGTTGAAATTGCCTTAAATTACTACAAAAATCAAATGTTGAATGAATGGGTAATAAATTATTTTACAAAAAATTGGATAAAATAATTGGAATATGCATCTACAACAGTATCTTAAAAATGATTCTTATTTTATAAGAAATTATCACTTACAAAGACATTTTTATAGTCATAAAACAAATGTTTAAAAAAAAAACCAGTTGTGCGTCTCGGAACCCTTAGCAGAATTTAAACTTCAAACTAGTCAGTTATTAAGTTATGAAACTTGGTATTTTTTTTTTTTTTAATTACAAAGTGGAATTGTATAGTTTTGTATTAATTATTTTTATTTTTTCATTTATAGATAGGAATACATTATAATTGTTAAAACTATTAAATGTTTTTATGTATAAAATAATACAAAAATTGTTCTGTAGATGTATGTAAAGGTAAAAAATCATAAGATAAAACAGCAAGTGGGGGACGATAAGCTTCCATGATTTCTTGTCTTTCAGCTGTTTTTTTAGCGCTAAAGAGTCGAGATCGATCAGAAGATATAATAAGTTGTGAAATTGAACGTTGTGTTGACAGCGCTAATGCTTTTTGACGAGCTCTATATTCCCGTTTCTGTTGAATGGAGACATTGTTTTCTATTTGTAGTTTCTTCTTGTTTTATTTTCAAAAACTGCTTTGCAGACATCAATAATTTTAACTCAATATCTCTTTTTTATCGAAGTGCTTTTGTTCTTTTATCCTTTCCGCCGGTTCATTTATTATAATTTATAATTTAAAATGTTGTCACCCAAAAATGAGATTGTTAGTCTGAAAAAGTTTTTAATTTTTGTAAATTTAATATTAATATAAAAATTATCAATTGACATTCGGGATAAAATATTTCATCACAAATATTCAGGAATAATCCATAGGTATTAAAGGGATGGTAAAATCGATTTCGAATTCGAATCTCGAGCCCTCAGCTTTTGTCAGTAACAAATTATTGAAATACAGAAGCAAAAATGTACTTTCTCTTACTAGCACTCACATAGGCTTACAGATAGTCCTAATAAGTTCAAGACTCAATGTATTTGCAGCCTTACAATGTATAATTACCAACAGAGGCTCAATCTCACGTACATTGCATAGAAGAGGTCAAAATAACTCGTTTACTCCTGCATGTATAAAAACGATAAAGGCGATGGGTGGAAAAAGATGGAAGGTATTCAAAGAACAACAATGATTGTCAAATTTCACCTGCATTTTTGCATTTTTTATTTACCAGGGTCAAGCATTTCATACATAGGTTCAGAAATATATGATCTGCTTCATTCAGCCTAATACCTAATAAGTCTGTAGATACTGTTACGTTAATGGCATGATATGATTAAAATGTCCACTGGGGAATATTTTTCATTGATGGTGATAATACTTACGAATTGTAGTATTTTGCTTATAAAAATAAAGTAAAATAATTAAAATAGATGATTAAAAATGAAGAATAAATTTCTGTTACTAGTTGACAAAATAAATTTTTATCTCATAGCTGACTAAAATTTTTTGCCTAGAAAGTAGGTAAAACGTTAGCATTTGGAAATCAAAGCGTATTCTTATAGCTTAAG